GGCAATTCTCTCCCGATGACTTGGAAGCAGTTACCCAGAAAGAGTTCACAACATTTCGCATTTCGCACAGCTGTAACCTCGATCATTCCCGAAAAGATCTCCTTCTTCCGGATGGTTGTGGAAGTGCACCATCAAACTATGCAGGAATGTACGGTTGAATGAAGTTTTTCCAAGTGATGATCCTTTCACCGAATTAAATCGCAGCTATGGATCGGAAACCAACTAGTGTCCGCTAACTGACAGTTTCAGTGGTTTGCTGTCGGTACTGACGCAAGTTATTCCGATCTTCATCTATTCGCAAGGACTGGAGAAGGCTGGTCTGTTTTCAGACTGTTTTGACAATGTTTTATGAACTTGAGGACCACGCTCACTTCACTCTTCTCCACCAGATGCTCAGTCGTTGATGGTACTCGTTCCGCCGGCCGTGCTGGTTCTTCTAAAGAACTAAATTTTACTGAAATCGACTTCGCTTGAATTTTTCCTCCAACTTCGTTTATCCTTAGAGATATCCTTGTCATAAATTTGGTTTTTATTCACTATGAGGATCCATCCTTAAAGTTCAATTTGTAAACAGAGGAGATTTTATGATACACTTTTAAAAGCCTAAAAGGCAACAATATATGCACTTTACTCTCATTTAAAACCGAATGGTTTAATGATTGCTTTTTAATGATGGAACAGGTTATTAGAGTATTTTATCAAGGCATTAATAAAAAAATTGCTAATGAAGTTTATGACTGATTTTTAGAACAGTTTTATGGCGGGATTGAGAACTACTTTAAATTTAATTTTAAAACAAGACAGTTTTCCGATTTCTCGTCAGACTGTAAAAGGTTTTTAAAACAGCGAGAAGGTGAACTACTAAGCAGGAACGGTTTACACTGTGAAATGCTGTATTTAAACTAAATGGATTATTCATTGCCATTATAAAACCATCATAAATCAGAGTGGATGCCAAATGATTGCAGAATTGTTACTTGGGTACCGTCTTATTGAGTTATTATTCATATTAATTTATGAGTGGTAATTGTACCCAATACTGACATAGATTTACTGCTGTTTAAAATGTTACTTAAAAATTATGGATTTTTGGCTCCGAAAAGTGTCACACACGACTGAGCCTAGTAAATAAACGAACTAGTAAAAAAACGGTCTCGTTAGCGATTTTATCCCAAAAAATTTTTCATCTAAGCTCCCGTTTTGATGACTGTACCTTTTACCTTCAGTTTCCTCTGCATAATTGCCAAGTAGTTTCCATTGGGCCTTAACTGGGGACAATTGGGTGGATTGAGGGTTTTCGAAACAAACTGGACTATGTGGTCATTGTACCATTGTTGTACTTGCTGGCTGTAGTGACAACTCGCAAGATCCGGCAAAAATGTCACCGTATCGTCATGTGGCTGGGTGAAGGGCAGAATTCGCTTCTGGAGACATTCGATTTTGTAAACCTCTGAGTTCATAATTTTCTCAGTTACGAAAACCTTTGTCTTCGGGCCGCAGCTCTAAATTCCCTGTCAAATCATATATTTGCTTACAAACAAATTTGAATCTGCCAGGGACACCTCCTCGAGCCTTCGTCTTGTAAAATGTTGCTCTTGGAAGCTGTCCGAAGTCGGCCTTTACATAGGTTTCATCATCCATAAGTATGCACCCACCGGACTTGGTCAGCAGGTTGTAATACTGCTTTCGAGCACGGGTTCTAGCTATGGTATTCTGCTTGAGCGATCGATTTGGTTGCGTACTGGTGCGGTATGCCTGTAAGCCTTCGCGGTAGCGAATTCACTGTACTGCCTTGGGCCTCCCATACATTTAACTCAAATCGTGATCGGACAAACCTGGGTTGCTTCTGACGGACCTCAATACCTTTCCATAGAGCAGACCGTTGGTAGTTCCACTTCGGCGTTTACTTTGAGGCTTACGATTCGTCGTCAAGGTTTCCCTGTACGTTTTGAGCACATGCCATACGGAGTTTCTAGGAAAATTCAACACTTTATCCAGCTTGGACTATACACGATTTTTTTTCTACGCTCCTCTTGCATGGTTACTGTCTCCAAAGCAAGAGCGTTTTATGAACTGAAAAAATACACTGTTATTGTTATTATTATTGTCATCAAATAGACGTCAAATGCTTTCGAAAACGTCCAGTAGGAGCGTTGTAATAAGCAAAAGAGTTTGTTCCATTACTAAGTGGGCCATGGTTTATGAGGCATACAATGCGCTGTGATGTTACACAGTAACACAATAGTCGAATGATTCAACCCATGTAAATGCAACACAAATTTCTCTTACATCCAATTGGAATTATTACATCCTCTGCATACAATAAATGTAATGGCAGTTATTGGAATGGACTGCAGTTTAAAGCCAAGTTGTTCCAGAATGCATATTTTCCTACAAAACTTTCACAGGAAACAGACTTGGTTTGGAAAATAAGCTAGCATAAAATTACAACATAATTTAATAACCTTCCGGCGACCACAGCACAGAATCTGTTCAAACGACTGAAGTTTCGTCAATATTTCCATCAATATGTTCATGTCAATATTTTCAACAATATTTTCGGGGGGTTATCAATTCAGGGTCCTCACCAACATTGTGATATCCGATGGAATATTTGGAGTCAAATTACAACCCCCTTAACAAAAGGTGCTGAAGAGCAGGCCCCATCTGCTGGTAAAGTAAAACAGAAGGGGAAAATGAGGGGAAATATTGAAACATGAAATCAAACTGTTTTGATTTTGCGTCAAAATGCTTATCAATATATTCGTCGTAAATATTTGCATCAGTATGTAGCTCTTCAGATACGAGCTCTAGGATATTTTAGATCGACTATTACATTCGATTATCAGCAATGCAGATCTCTGAGATCATATCATCTTTCTCTTGATAGAGAATGATTATTAAATTTGAATTTTTTTTTAAATAAATTGCAATTGAAACTTCTTATGATAAAGGTTATTGAGATCTAGGTCATCAATTTCACTATAAGCCTGTGCTTTCATATTTTTCCTCTGTATTTAGCCTTAGAATGCTCAACTTCGCTGACAAAGTAAATCATGGCTCACAAAGTAATGGAACAACATCATTTTGGACTATTTCGGATTTGAATTTACGGATTTGAAAACAGTTTTCACTCAAGTGCATACTATTCCTTATTTTTAAGAACAAAATATGAAACGAATTATTCGTCATGGTTTCGAAGGAATTTTCGAACTTTTCCCTTAATACGACCCATCAAGCGGCGCCCAACGGTCTCGGATAACAATTTTATCCCAAAAAATATTTCATCTGAACTGCCGTTTTGATGACTGTACCTTTTACCTTCAGTTTCCTCTTCATAATTGCCAAGTAGTTTCAAATGGGCCTGAACTGGAGACAATTGGGCGGTAAATATTTGCTACGATTGACAATACTTTTTAGAATTGAAAAATATGTTTGCCCGTGTGGTACTTGCTTTAAAATTCTCGGTTGAATGTATGAAGTTTAATACCCTTTTGAATAGCGATGTTCTAGGCTGTTGAACTTCATACTGAAAGAGTTGATGTAGCTTAGCAATCTTTATTATAATGGAGAACTTGTCACGACTATTGAGTCATTTTGTTGATTACCTGTAATGTTTCCAAATGTTCTCAATGTTTGAGCTTCATACCCGTGGGAAAATGTCTTCAAGGTAGAAGAGGATGAAAAAGCTCAGAGCCACCAATTTCCAATAAATTCTATCTATATCGTAACTTCTTGACAAAAAGTTGATCCACTCCAGTTCGTTGGGCATTGGCAAAATTAGCAAACCCACAAACAAAAGGTCACAAACTGACATGCACGATCATGTGAGTTGTCGATAAGAAGGTAAAGAACCTGCCCGAGTTTGATGCCACGCAGTCACTTTGTGCGGTGATCGTCGAAAGGGGCAGGAGGCAGTTTATGCGGGATGATCTCCCGTGGCTCTCCGCCTCCCGCCGAGAGTCCCGCAAAAGGCACGCGAGAACAAGCACGTCAGTTCTGGTTTTCAGCGTCGTCGTCGTCGTCGTGTATATGAATATAATAAAAATCAAAAACATGTTTCCGTTCCGCGTTCTTTTTTGTGTGTTGTGTTATCCGTGTTGAGGTATCGCGTCAACACGGGAAAAAAGAGCGATTTCAAAAGTGATCTCCGCAGCCGGCCGGTCGTTGCGCGTGTGTACAGTTCGCAGATATCTGCATCCAATGATCCCGAACTAAAACCGCATGACCGTTGCCTCTTTTTGGCCGGTCGTAATTGGCGCAGCCATGGGCGTACAAAGGGGATGTTCTGAACAACAAGTCTTGAATTACACCCACCCTGGTGCACATCAATGCTTCTTGAAGTCATCGTCGTCATTGGTCGGCTGTCATCGCCAATTCGAGCCATCCAAGCCGTTGTACCACCCGATCGACACCTAGGACACAGAGTCGGAAAGCGTTGAAACGCGACCATCCGGTTGTTAGCCTCAAAGTTCCGCGTCTTTTGCTCTTGCGGAGATCTTTTGCATTTTTTCGTAGGTCCCTCCTCCAATCTCCTTCTTCCCAACAGAACTGCCGCCGAAAAGCAACGGCATTCAGCGCAACGTTGACGATGAGATGACTAGACAATTGATGAAATCAATATAAAAATATTATGTTTTTATTCATCCGACATCTGTTAATGCTTAATCTTTGATAAAGATGAAATATAAGAACGAAGCGAAGACGGAACTGAAATAACTCCGGCGCACACGAACACGTGAGATGGTGTGACGGACGGACGGTCGCTCGGATGGATACATTAAATGATTTCTCCGTTTCTTCTTCCAAAATCCATTGTCTTACTCACACTTGGCGCATCGCTGCTAACCTTTACGATTTCTGCTTGGCTTTAACATTTTTTTTTTTCGTAAAATTTATTGTGTTTTATGTTTTCGTTCAGAACTCGGCATTTAATATCTTCATTTTTTTCTTCTTCTCTCTTCCCCTCGGATTTCCCTTGCCGAAAAAACTGATCGCAGATACATCCACTCCAAGGAGAAACCCTTCAAATGCCTGGAATGCGGAAAGGGATTCTGCCAGTCGCGGACGTTGGCCGTTCACAAGATCCTGCATATGGAGGAATCCCCCCACAAGTGTCCCGTGTGCAGCAGGAGCTTCAACCAGCGATCGAATCTTAAGACACATCTGCTGACCCACACCGACATCAAACCGTACCACTGTGCGTCTTGCGGTAAGGTATTCCGACGGAATTGTGATCTACGAAGGCACAGTTTGACGCACAATCTGGGAGCGACCGGCCTGGGCGGAGCGGATGGGCAGCTGGACATGGCAGGAAGTTCCTCGTCGATGGGTGGTGCCAGTGACTCTGAGACCAACACGATCGATCTGATGGCGTTGGCCGGGGTGGATTGAAGTAAGTTGACGGAATAGTGCAATGTTATTGTCCTATTTAATTGGAATCGATTCTAGATTAGGGAACGTTGACATTTAGTGAGATAGGTTTTACTCGACGCAGCGAGGTTCGTCGCTTGTACTTTATTGCATTTGTAGAAATCTTTTGTCATACACTTAATGGTTTGCGATGGTTCTCTCGCGTTTTGATCAATGTCATGGTGTTTGATGTAATGCATTTGGTTGATATAGGATTTTTAAATGGAGCCTACACGATTTACTCGTCTGCAATTTTTGGTAGGGTCCTTCTTTACTAAAACTTTGATATCCATTTGATTATCCCTAGTCAAATGACGATAATCCTGGCCAAAATAAGATCAGGTTTCTTGATTGTTTTGCATTCAGGTTGACGATAGTTTTGCATTCACTAGATTCAGTTTACATTTACTAGTGTAGTTGTGACATAATTTTGGCAAAACATTCAAATGATCCTAATGAGTTTTAGAGGAGCGTTTGGTATGGTTCACGGACTACACAGAAAAAAAAATCTGAATTTCAACTATCGCGTAAAATCAGTTTTATTTTGTCCTATACTTGGCATAAACAGCAAAATCGTTTACAAGCTTGCATATAATATTGCTAATTTATGCAATATTGTGCTTAAATTTACACGAAATATCGCATAAATTTATGCCAAGTCTAGCGTTAATTTTATGGGCGCTATATCTCGCAGAAATTTGCATGATATTTTAGGTAGATTATGGTAGTGTGCCAAGAACTGCAAACAAGACCTGTGGATTTTATTAAAAAAAAGGCTGCAGGACTTCGGGGGTTAGCTTAATGAACTTTCATATAAGTCTGAAGCTTTTGGAATAGAGCCACTGTCCTGTGATTAAGCTCGGTAGCATCTCAGAGAGGTTTTCATAATTGCATAGGTAGGTACGGAGTGGACTTACATGACAATTCTAGGGATGTAATTCTGGGATTTTGTGCTGTTAATTCTGGATCTGAATTTTATTCTGGTGTTCTTTGAATCCCATGGCGATATTCTCTGAATATTTCTATGCTTCGTATGTCGAGATGCCTTGAACCACATGTTACAGCTTTATAAATCTCATACTGTTTCTTATTCTGGGATTTCCTTAAGTTTGCATTTCATTCTTTGATAAACTGGATTCTCTGGTATTATCTACCCAGCAAAAATTCTGAATTTTAATTATGATGTAAACATTCCGTAAACGTAAACTCGTATTTCGTTTCACGCAAACGAGCAACTTGTAGCATTTTTTTATGGTGTTATGATCAAAACTTGGTCAAACAAGAATGCGTGTAAATTGATTTAATTTTTTTTTATAAAAATGTCAAATTATTTTTCTTTTTAAAAATAATATAAAATATAATATTCAAAATAAAATGCAGAAAAAATATTCAGCTAAGCTTCCATTTTACCGAATCCGAATTGCCAGGCCTTTCGTTTAACTTCTGCCATAAGATTATCCACTTTGTTTGCCGCAGAGCAGAACAACAATTTTTCGGGTCTTTTTCAGGTTCCGCTTGACGATGTCCCAATATTTTTCGATTAGAAGGAGCTCTGGCGTGATGGGAGGGTCCTCCTACTTCTCCACATAGTTGGCGGAATACCGCTCCATGCCAGCATGCCAAATCCAGCCAAAACAGCACGGAACAGTAGTGTTGCTCCTTGGGGGCGACCCCGGCGTAGTGGTTAGCATCCATACCTATAACGCCAAAGTCACGAGTTGAAATCTCACTACCGGACAAGTCACGAATGACTCAAGAGCGTTAAAGTGACTATAATAATAATAAAAAAATAGTGTTGCTTCAGGAAAGGCACACGTTTTTCCAGACACTCGTTCACATAAATTTCCTGGTTGACGGTCCCGGTTTCAATGAAAATGTCGCTTTTTAAGCTACGGGTAAAGGGTGTACCGTTTAAAATTCGCACACACAAAATTCATTCTTAAAATTTGAGTTTTTATCCGATTATCACCAAATTTTCAGGGCGTAAAAAGAAACAAAAAAAGTTAGTTTTGCATCATTCATTTAAGGTGATATTCTAAGGAAGCCTTAGCGTGAAACTTTAAAGGCACAAATGTCAGCTTCCACAAAACATACAAATTTGAAATTGCTACTCCTTGTTTGCTGTGCTACTACAAACAGAGAGTAGCAATTACAAATTTGTATGTTTTGTGGAAGCTGACATTTGTGCCTTTGAAGTTTCACGCTAAGGCTTCCTTAGAGTATCACCTTAATTTATTTCGCCTTTATATCCAAATGCGCGAACTTTGGCCTTAACCCCAGCCATAAGGTTCTGCACGACCTCAGAATCGACAGTTTTTTGCATATTAACCCATACTTTCTCCATTTCTTCTACATTCTTCTCCACTTTAGGTCATTTTAGAAGGTGCTCCTTCATAATGGCCCAGTATATTGGGCGCAGTTCTGGAGTGTTTGAGAGGTTCAGATCAGTTGGCACGAAATTGACATCATTCGCTTTATACCACTCTAGCACGTCCTTCGTGTAGTGGCATGATGCCAAATCCGTCGGACCGTCGTGAGCCTTCAGGTGAGGGAGAAGCCGCTTTTGGAGACACTCTTCTAAATACACCTGTCCATTCATGGTGCTTGCGGTAACGAAAGGTGTACTCCGCTTTCCACAAATACAATTCGCTTGCCGAATTAAGAACACCTTGGCAAACTTCGACATCTTCTGTGTCCGGAGGTTCTCGGGAACATCACAATTATCCTTCGCAGTCACATACAGGATTCCTGGAATCTGGTCGAAGTCCGCCTTCATATATGTCTCGTCATCCATTACGCAGCAGTGTGGTTTCGAACAACTTCCGGCACGGCTTTTTGTGACCGTATTCTGTAACCTTAAACGTACGTAGTCCAGCTCGAGTTTTGGTATTCTGCACGAAAGTCTTCCTCACATGCAACTTTTTAGCCACGTCTCGAACTGAGGCGTTCGGTTTCCGTTTAAAGGCCCCAGCCACGTGTTTGTGATCGTTCTCGTAGACCTGGTGGCTTTTTCCGGATCTTCGGTTCCGATCAACAGTCAGGCGTTCTTTGAACCGTTTTATGATACCAGACGCCGTGGAATTCGAGATTCTCAACTTTTATCCGATGGCACGATGCGACAGATCCTTATTCTCGAAGTACTCGTGCAAAACTTTTTCGCACACGCACTGTTCTTTCGTCGCCATTTTGAAAACTTGTGTGCACCTGATGAAATCAACAGTATAAACAATACACATTTAACAATGTCTACGCAAAATTTTAATTATTTTACCAAACGGATCAAAAGCTAGAGCAATTTGAAAGTGTGCATATTTTAAACGGTACACCCTATACAGATAACCTGCCAAACTAGATATTTCTTAGCGAACTTCGACAGTTTCATATCCTTGAAAATTTCTGCCACCTTTACCCTTCCAGTTGCCGTATAAAACTCCAGCCCAGGAAGCTGTTTGAAGTCTGTCTTGCGTGGAAGTAGTTTGGATTTTCGCAATGCGCATGCAAAATGTCGATGCGTTGCTCCACTTGCTTGGACGCCATTTTGATAACTGAAGAACAAATGTCAAAATTTAAATAGAGGCATCATTCTGCACACATAAACCTACAAAACGAGGGTTGTTTAAATGCTCGATTAAAAGAAATGCGCCAAGTTTAAGTCGACCAAATTTTGATCGTAACACCCTTTATATCCTAGATCTACATTGACAACATTTGTCTAAGTCCGAGACTTTGAACATTTTTCTCTGTTCCTCAATTTGTCGATCTAATCCCCAATTCGCTAAAGGAATCTTAAATCAACTTAGTGCGTACATTATTGTTTTAAAAACATCGAGGTAGAATAATGAGTGCAGAATGAGAAAATGGAGATTAGAATTGGACGTTGCTCATGCTTATTCAATGTCCAGTGCCGTTCAATTTTGACAACAAGCTTGAAAATGTAATGTTGTCCACCTTGTACCACGTTGCTGACGCTGGTGATGTAGTGGTAAGCGTGACTGCTTTCTCACCCCAACGGGTCTGGGTTCAATCTCAGCCGAGTTCGGTGCGATTTTTCTGAGACATACACCTCTGGTCATGTCTTCCTTCAGAAGGGAAGTAAAGCCGTTGGTCCCGGTCCATGTGTGTTTGAATGGGTGCAATATCCTACGCAGGTGTGGAAGCTGTGGATGGCAATCGATGTCCGTCGGTGACTGGCACTAGATTTAAGGAACAGTGACCGATGTTAAATAAAGGAATGAAGAACATTGAACCGTGCCAAAAACGAACGGTTTTATTTTTTTTTTTGTGATTTACAATTTATTGTTCCATCTAAAAATTGTCTATCGTAATGTGTTTTATTTTTTCAGTTTTCTCTCTAATTCTGTAAAAAATCAAACATTTCTTAATTGCCTCCAAGGAAGAAGACAATAGAATGAGCCAAAATCTGTCGAACAACACACTTTACTTCATCATTCTTAAATCATTTGTGGCCTAAATGAAATGGCTTTTCTCGGGACTTCCAGGAAATTGGAGAATACTATTTATTCTGTGTTCAGATAGCTGTGCATCAGAATGCATTTTTTTAATTTTCGTTGAACGATACATGAAGATCTCTGGCTTCCCCTGGAATGCTTTGTTGGCATCCAGGAAGTTTTTTTTTTATTTCTCCCCGAAGCATCTTCCTGCGATTTCCAGAACTCTTTCAGGTATCGTCTTCTGGCATCCTTTCCACAAGATTATGCTGGCTTCTCCTAGACGTCTAACTGCCCCAAAACATTAATTTATTTATTTCGTCAAGCAAAGTAGACTACATACAATGGTTACAATGTTTTACTTACATTCTATGCATTATTTCTATTATGGTTTAGTGGGGTTTTAATTTCTTCTTTTGACATAGTGATGCTAATGACTTCACAGTGTAGATTCTACTGTCGCATCATTCGACGTTAAGTATGATTGGATCCAATTCAGAAGTCTAGATTCCATTCCTATTTTTTGCAATTTAAAGAGTAAAAATGGTA